AAGCTCTTTTTTCAGAACCCCCCCCCCCCCCCCCAGTGGCAAAGGAACAATATCCCACAATACTCAAAACATTAATTAATATGTATGACACAAATGCACTTACATTTTCATTGATTAACATTTCAATTATCCTTTCAGCCTGCAGCCTTATATTTTTGCAGGTTTCTAGACTCCTTTTATCCAAAGTGTGGTTCCCATATGGTGCAAATCTACCAGATCTCACACACAGCAGCAGTAGAAGGGCGAAACTCAGGGAACGCACTGTAAAACAAAACATATCATGCTTGCTCATTAACAGAAAGTAGAAAACAAACTAATTCAGTAATGTACTTAATCTTATAAAGACTTACTTGTATCTTCTTTGTTGGTTTGTCAAAGGTCTTCGCAGGCGGGGTTTTAGAGTTGGGTACTCTGGGTCTTCCTCTGTGCAAAGACTTCTGCAAATATTTCCGAATCTCCATCTTATATATCTAGAGGTCCTGTCCCCTTTTACCATAAACTTCCAGCAGTGGCCTCTAAACCTTCATAGAAAACTTCTGAAGTCATCGGCCGTCTCACCCACATACAAAGTGTATGTGAATTTTTTGTGGGTGTGCGTGAGGATTGATTGGACATGTCTCAACGCTATTGTTACTTCGTTAGAATTTCTGAGCCTTCCTGTTATGATCACTGCTTGTCACTTCCTCCAGGGAAGCCTTTAGTAATGTTGTAATTATGGGATAGTGTTCCAAGAACCTTTACCCACGACAGTTTGACATGCAACTGCTCAAGCAGGTTAGTCGATGACAGCACATCTCTGGCACTGCATATTGTGGTAGCATTTGGATGGTTAGTCAACCTTGTTAAGCTTCTTGTTACTGATTCTTCCCATGTATTTCTAAGATACTAGATTTCTTGACACATTTTGGTTGGTAAAAAAAAAATACAGCAAGACATTCTACTTCAGGTTCCTTTCAGATCTTTCTCTTGTCCTTGAAGAAGCCCAATGAATTTTTGCCATAGCATAATACAAACTGTCCTCACTTTTGACATCACTGTGGTACAGCAATACACTGCGTATTTTTTTATTGTACATTTGTATAATGCACTTGTATCTGAATTTCCCATTCGCTTTATGTCATGTCATAAATAGTAGACACTCAAGTACTATAGAAACATATTAGCTGAGCTCCCACACATTTTTTTTAGATAATCATGGGCCATTATTCGAAGCATAAACCATAAGTTATGAACATGGACATGGACATGTACAGTATATTACTGTTAAATACACTTCATTGCAAAATTAAGATGCAAATTATATTTTCTGAACGGTATGATGACCCTTTCCTAAACAGGGTTATTTGTTTGCTTTCAAATTATAAATACATAAAAGATTTTATGTAAACCATGTGTTTTTAAAGAAACTCATACAATTTGCACATGTATTTTTTTTATATTTGGATGCAGTTTTTTGTTTGCATGTTATTGCCCCCCACACCTAGCTATTGAACACACTGGATTATTTAGATATGATTGAATTATTATTTAAAATAATATTGTAAAATATCAAGATGACAGGGTGGACACATAATGTAGAACACACAGAGCATGACAAAATATGACAATAAAACATTTATTAAACTTCGAAAAAAATAATATAATTATTATTAATAATAATAATTACATCGTCAATCACATTGAAATATGTCCTGTACAGAGCACACTCAGGGCTTTTCAGAGATACCAAATGATTGGATGTTTCACCATGACCACTCCCTCTCCTTGGTCTTTAAAAATAGTAATCAAATGTAACACCCTAATGGAAATATTATAATGTTTTGTAATTATCATTTAAATCTGACTAATTGACAAATTGTTTGTCATAAATCAACATCTCAGGAAAATGTTATGGGGTTTCAAATCAAGATATGAGCTTCTGTTATGAAACAGGACATCAATTTCATACATGTCCACTGTAGAGGACACCATACTTAAAGCATGTTTATTACACATTTTGGGAAACACAACAAATGAATAGAGAAAAAATTATGTATCAATATTCCTATTAAATATGAGATATTATTATGAAAATCTTGCTAATTATTACTCCCATTATTGCACTTATTTGTTCATTCTATGTTGCCCCAAAAACACATTAATATGCAAATTAGATACAGTTTATAGATACATTGTATATAATGGAAAAACTAGTTTATGGCCATTTTACACACATTTTGCATAAATAAAAATGTTTTTTAAAATATCTTTCATAACATAGTTGAGAATCATCTTTATATAAAGTTTGGTATAAAAAAATTAAAATTGATTTCTGATTAAAACAAAAATCCCACTCTTTTTGCCTTTTCATGTCTATTCATGTCTATTTTTTTTTAAACAGGACTTTTAAAGTCCCAATGTCCTCTACAGAGGACATGGCATAACATATGAATAAAATATCATTTTTCTAAAATTTTATTTTTCAAAATTTTGCTTATGCTCTAAACAATGTAATGACTTGACAAAATACTACATTCAAAAAACTGTTTTTTCCTGGTAGTCAGGAGGATTTAATAAGCAGTGCATGGGACATAGCAAAATAGCATGCATCCTCTTACACAAAACTAAAAACTTAGCCTAATATAACACACCCTTTCATAGTCATTTTTATGTTAAGTTATCATGGCAAATTAGGATTAGAACTGGATGGTTATTGAATGGTTATTGATGGTAATTGTTATACTGGTTAGTCTCGTTAGTAAAGTTTTGATGGATGAAAACTGCAATCTAGGTAAAGACGAGACGATTGCGGTGGCGTACAGTAAGCACGCGTGAGTCCCTTATTAATGCGTGTATGAGTGCTCTTGACGCACTGATCGCACATTGTATTTATGCACAGGCACAGACATTTCTGTACATTCACGTTGTTTCCACACACATTCGCGATTTTTTGATTTGCCATGTTTATGTTGCTGTGTTTTGTTATATGGAATGGATTCGTGTGTACTGTAGTACAGGTGCATCTCAATAAATTAGAATGTCGTGGAAAAGTTCATTTATTTCAGTAATTCAGCTCAAATTGGGGAAGACTGCTGATCTGACAGCTGTCCAGAAGACAATCATTGACACCCTTCACAAAGAGGGTAAGCCACAAACATTCGTTGCCAAAAAAGCTGGCTGTTCACAGAGTGCTGTATCCAAGCATGTTAATATATAAATATATATATATATATATATATATATATTGCATTTTTTTTCTTTCATATGTGCTTACATAGGCTTCTTATATCATTTGGTTCTTTGGTGTCCTTTTGGAGTTTTGGAGTTCTTTTGGAGTCCTTTTTTGGAAAGACATCTACATTTATCCTGAGAAAAGCTTGCAGAAAATACATATTTTTGAAAATCACCCTTCAATCTTTTGGTTTACTTTGCTGAATATAGCAAATGATAACAAAATAACAACTTGAAACCAGATAAATGGTCTATGCTTAATTTCCTGAAGTGTGCGATTAATCACAGAAAAAGGGTGTGATTAA